GAGGGGAGGAGTGGGAGTCCCAGGGTGGGGGGAGGCGTGGGAGGGGAGAAGCGCAGACAGGGAGGGGAGAGGGGAAACGGGGCCGGGGTGGGCTCGGCGGGCTGGACCCGGGCTCCGAGCTGCTCTCTCCATCTGTAGAATGGGCGCAGGGTGTCACGTTCATTTGATGACGAGTGACCCCTGCGCTGAAGGCGTTGGGGCTCCTGCAGTTCTGGGGCAGCCACAGGCGCCCAGGGTTTCGTGCCGCCCCGCCCAGGACAGCCTTCCCGGTGCAGTTTCTGATGCAGGGAGGGCAGTGCTGCCTTCCAGTCACCAGGACCAGTGCTCAGCCCGCCTGCTTGACCCCCTTACTTAGCTGGGGCCCAATCCATACCCAATTTAGATGATTCAGATGATGGAATTTGAAACTTTTGAACTGGGTGCGACTTAAGTGAACGTGGACCTGAGTTGATGCTGTGATAAGTCAAGGCTGCGGAGGACCTTGAGATGGGTGCGTGCGTTTTGCCCATGAGACCTATGCGAATCTTTGGAAACTGAAGGGTGAACTGTGGTGGGCAGAATAATGGCCCTCCAAGGATGTCCACATCCTAACCTCCAGCTCCTGTGAATACATTACTTACATGGCAAAAGGGACGTTGCAAATGCAATGAAGTTAAGATTCTTTAGATGGGGAGATTCTTATGTTTATCAGGGTGAGCCCAGTGTGCAGTCATCCCTGGGTATCCATAGAGGACTGGCTCCAGCACCTCTCAAGGACGCCAGAATCCTTGATGCTCAAATCTCTTACATAAAATGGCTTAATATTTGCATATAACCTACACACATCTTCCTGTATACTTTAAGTCACCTCTGGATTACTTATAATACCTAATACAATGTAAGCGCTATGTAGATAGTTGTTACACAGTATTGTTCAGGGAATAGTGACAAGAGAAAAGTTTGTACATGTTCAGTACAGACACAGGTTTTTTTTTTTCTGAATCGTTTGTATCCTTGGTGGTTTCAATCTGGATGGAGAGCCCACAAGTACAGATAGGAGGGCAGGCGCCATCACAGGGGTTCTTGTGGGAGTTAGGAAGCCAAGTGAGAGGACAATGGGATGAAAGCAGAGAGAAAAGGAAATGTGACAACCGACACAGGGGTTGGAGTGATGTCCTTTGAAGATGGAGGAAGGGGCCGCAAGCCAAGGACTATGAGCAGCTTCTAGAGGCTGGGAGAGACAAGGAATCAAGGCCTCTCCTGGAGCCAACAGAAGGAATGCAGCCTGCTGACCCCTTGATCTTAGCCCATGACACTCGTTGTCCCATTAGACTTCTGACCCCCAGAGCTGTAAGATATAAATTTGTATTGTTTTGGATCACCATGTTTATGGTAATTTGTTAGGACAGCAGTAAGAAACAAACACAGATTTGGGTAGCTCACTCCTCCTTTTTCCTTTTTTGAGGCAGGGTCTCTCTGTTGTCCATGCTGGAGTGC